GGTTATATCGGCATACTTTAACATAAGGAACACCCTCCCGAAGTTTGGCACATTCCTCCTGGGACACCCTGTATATATATATATGTGTGGCATAAGGCCTAAAACAAAGTTTAATGCATCTTTCTTCATGTGAATAATCCTGAGAATTTTATTACTAGAGCTGGCAAGAACTGTTCTGTTGCCTGCTTGAATTTTGAAAGCAAAATTACAAAATGTATCAGAATCAATCAGTTTATTTGTTTCAAGAATCTATATTTGGTGATACAATCTCCAGATAGAGAGCAAGTCATTAACTAAATATTAATGTAACATACACATCGGAGATGAGTCAACTATACTATAAAACTTACCTACCTACAGATTCCATTCACATCAGTCATACAACACATCATCCCACTTGCAGAAACTCAATAACCAAAAGAAACCCTGCATCCAAATTTGGCTAGTTTTGGACTTCATCCGTCATCTGGTATGTAAAAGACGGATCTGTCTCCGAAACGTTGTGGTCTTTTGTCTCTTACATACCAGACAATGGATGAAGTCCAAAACAACGTTTCAGAGACAGATCCAGTCTCTGAAACGTCGTGGTCTTCTGTCTTTTACATGCCAGACGATGGATGAAGTCCAAAACAAGCCAAAAGAAGTACAGTATACACCATCGTCAGAATCCTTTCAAGTCTAAAAGAAACCCTGCATCCAAATTTTTTTATAGATTAAGTGAGGACAAGATATTTATCATTACATACAACATAACACACCCACTTAAGAATTAAAGGGACATAAATTCATCAACAGAATAAATGGAATGTTTCAACAGAAAGGATTTTAAGTTCCTCTTAAAAGAGTTAAAATGAGCAAATAGAGGCAGAAAAGTCACATTTGGTAATATACATTAAAAGTAAGGTAATGGGTGGTGTTACTTCAGTAATTATACTGTCAAGTCTGTAATTATAACAGTATGAGCAGCTGTCATTAATACTGATACTGTATTGCATGTTACTGATGACACTGCTCCTTCCAAGTGGCAAATCTACCTTGCTGATTCAAAATGAAGAATATTAAATTTAGGTATCTCTTCTTTGTCTCTTATCCAGAGAGGACTTGTAAGTAACTGAGCTTTCACGTATGATGATGCTTTGTAGCACTGGTTACTGCAGAAGTTCTGTAAAGGGAAAAGTTATTAATGGAACTTCCATATTAATAGTGATGATGAGGATTATGATAACTATAATGATGACTTGGTAATTATACTGTTGTGATCACTGCTATCATTTTCTTCTGGGTCCACATATGCTTTTGGAGATACTATCTCCACTAACTTTTAACCGGAACATGATCTTTGAAAAGAAAAATGAAATGTATTCATTTGCAACGAATCAGCCACGGTTACTTACTTTATTCCCTATACTAGTGAATCAAATCAAATTATAGAAAGGGTTCTCACAAAACTGTGAAGAGAGGGTGAACTGTAATTGTTACATACAAAAGAATCATTTCCATAGTTTGGACTGCAGATTATGTTAATGTTTGCATGCATATGATGCATACACACTACTCCACCCATTTAAAACTTTCGGTTTGAACTATCCTAAGTTCATTATTGCCCCTTTTAGTTTCATAACAAAAATATACACTAAAATCACATACCATTATATTTAAAAGGGCATATTCAACAAAGTATAGTTAATTCTCAACAATGATCAGTAATATTATTCATTACCTTTCTTTCTGTAATGTCATATACTTTATTCATTTGGGTAGATATATGATATTGCTGACTGGGAATATTTTTCAGCTTCTTTTGACATAGTGGATACCCACAGTTTAAAGATATTGCTCTTTCTTCTATAACATCTTGATAATGACTTGGATTGATGAATTTGAGCTGTAAGAAATGGATGACAGAGAAGTGAAAAAGACAGTTATGCAAAGAATATGAAAGGCCATTACTTTTCTGAACAAACAAATTATAATTATGATGATAAATTATGGGTTTGATGAATATAAAGTACACCATGGCAGAAATCTGCACACTACTACAGTAATGCTGTTTATATCTCAGTCTTGGCTGTGATAACTGTTAATTTACTACTGCACAAGGGGCACCATGCTACAAGTACAAGTTAGAGGGTCACAGGTTTGATTCCTGATGACCTAATCCTTCAAGCCGCACTATGGCCCTGGGGTTTACTCAGCATCTAACAGAAATGAGAACTGGGAATCTTCCTGGGGAATAAAGGGTGACTGGTGCATAAGGCTGACAACCTTTGCCGCCATCTATGAGCTGATTGTCTAGAAAATGTGGGATAGCTTTACTACTATACAAAGCAGAAGAAAATTTATTCTGGTGTAGAGAATACAAATACTAAGTTTCACACTACTGCTAATAGGAGACGTGAGAAGATTTTTATATATTACACAGAAGTAACCAGACTATTAGTATCACATTTCAGGAGACAATAACTTGATATGCACCACTGTGACAACCTCAAATTTAAACTGCAACTTTGAGTTTGGAGAGAGGAGTGCAAACAAAGCATCATTGAGAAGTAAATGCTACATATCATAATTCTAATGAACTCACACAATCAAGAAACCAGGCTTCACTGACAGTATTTTCCAGAAAGCTTTCCACAATCTGTAATGCTTTGGCATTGCATTCTCTTTTCTTCTGTAATGTTTTTTCTAGTGCTTCCTTGCTGAAATATAAATAACAATGTTGAAAGAACATGCAGATTTCATGCAAATATTTGTACAAAGTACATGTATCTATTCTAAAGTTTCAACCAGACTGTACTTATATGCATTATCCTTTTCCCCTCCACCAAGAAAAAAAACTGCCCAATCATTTCAATGTCTCTGTACTTTCTGTCAGCTTCAGATTATACTGTCAAATAGTTCAGAAGGCAACAGAGAGGATCTAAATTCTGTACCATACGTGTGTACATATTTTAGAAGGCTTTGTGTTATGTCTAGTACTGCTGTTACCGGAAATGTGAATAAACGAAAAGGGGGGAAGCCTGATGATGATGATGGGGATGGGGGGGGGGGAATAACTCCAGGGCAGTGTATCCTAAAGACATCTTTTACCCAAGTAGTTCTATATCTATGTATATGGATTTATGGAATATACAATGAATGAATGAATGAACCCCCAAATTAGGGTCAGTGTTCGATTACACATCGGTACAGCTAGTAAGTATTCAAAATGTGGTGAACCCACATCGCAGGTTCATCGAATATTTTACATACTAAGAGTAGCAGAATTAAGTATCCATACTATCAGCCACATTACCTCATTTCACTGATCCGTTTTGGTAATTTCTGAGTACTTTTTCGGGCCTTCGGATTCTCCACTTTCCTGCTTCTTTCTACCGATCCCATTTCAGATGCTTTTCTCGCCCTTTAAGATTATGTGAAGACAAAAACTGTCACCCTAACCTCGAACATGCTTCATTCTTGTGCTGTTCATTTTTAACGACGTTCCTTATTGTGAATGGTACAGAAGTAGGGAAGCTGTCCAATAGTACCAAATAGACACGAATGAACTTCGTTAGTGGACTTAATATCGTATTCAATACTCTGAAAATTCTCTAACATAACCAATAACTAAGCAACCATCATATTTTGTCATAAGTCGCACCAATCAGTGTCGCAAACCTGATACAAAGCAAATTCGTCACCATCGTCACCATGGATCGGTATACGTCATAGATCGACGGCTAATGCCCACAATTCTTAGAAAAGAAGAAAGCCTGTCATAAATAGTAAACATAAATAATAAAAACCTGTTTAAAACTGTAACAAGCGTGGACAAACTAAAGCTTATCTCCTGAAGGTGGCCTATGATCGGCTTGCACATTCCCAAAGTATTTTGAATTTTGAATAATAATTGAGCATAGTTCTTTTGAGGTTGAGTTTGCTATGGAAAAGTTTTTAATCCCTGTAGAAAGCTATTAAGCACCAAGCAGGAGGTAAAACAAACTTTATATGAAATAGAGAACTGACATGACACGGGAAGGAATCTATTAATATACTCGAGGATTACTGCTCTCTGGAGTTTGACGCCGTGTAGCCTGATAGGTATTAACGTTTCGCATGGATTTGCTGCTACCCTCTTTGGGGAAGTAATTTTTCCTCTTATTCTTCTTGAACTAGTTTTATTTTCAACGTATAAAGCTTGTCCCATCAGATCTCACTCAAGAACCAAGAACCGGTCCTTCCGTCTCCAACCAAGGAGACTTCTGTTTCTTGTAAAACAGGCGGAGGACTCTTGTGATCCTAGCGATCATCAAGGCAATGAACCTCATCTTCCAGCGGGGCATTTCTTGAGTAGCGCAGTAAGTATTACCTTCTCGGAACGGTCCATGGAATTACTTCTGCATAACAGAGAGCGACAGACCGTACGTTGAAATGTCTCCGCAAAGCTGCTGTAGCTGTAACATAATTGTAAGCATTAAATTTACCCATATTGTACGTGTTGGTATGTTTTAACAAACTACAAATCTTCGCGCAGGCGCGGTGAGTGGGGAACTATGCATAATGTTTTGGTTTTAAAGTTGTATGAATGGTTGGTTTTTTAAATAGGTTGACAGTATTAAATACGTCTTGTTTGTGGAAGACCGAATTTATTATTCTTTTTAGTTCTATGACATGAATATATCCTGAAGTGGGCAACCATGAGTGCTGTAAAAATGCCGGGGACGGGCTTGGAGGATGTCGGTGTTCCTGGCCAAAGCTTTCTTAGAGATGCCTTGACAAGTTGTACAGATCCCCTAAAGGCGATTGAAGAATTTCAGGTAATTTATATGTAAATTACACACCTGTTCGTACGTTTGTATCAGTTAGTAAGTTAATGGAGACTCCATGTGTGGGTTAACATTTATGCCATAAAATCTAACCTAACTTTCATGCCAAGTAAACTCAATAGAACAGAGTCCTTGAGAAGCTAATATTTGATTGATTGAGTGATTTATTTCGTCACTGTAGATCATTGTACATGATATATGACAAGTCAAGTTAATTCTGAATATTAACAATTTGATATATAAGTAGATTAAAATTACAATAGTTACAATTTTTTTTACTGCTGATTACAATTTAGAATTAGTTAGATATTCTTATTTGCGGAGAATTTGATGGAATGAACATTGGCAGGGGAAACCGAAGTACTCGGAGGAAACCTGCCCCAGCGCCATTTTGTCCATCACAAATCCCACTTGCTCAGATCACAGTGGTGGGAAGCCAGCGACTAATTGCTTAAGCTATGGCGTGGCCTTAGAATAATGATATTGATAGCTAATGTAATGTTCTCAGCAGATTGGTGCCCTTCTTGATGGCCTGGTATTCTCGATCTCTCTAAGCGGCCTACGTAGACGTCCCTCCATCTCATGATGTCCTTTCTATCACATCCAACATGGTGTCTTGATTCCTTTAAGCAGAAGAGAACTGCGCAGTATACATTCATAGCATGCTGGTATAAGCTCAACAAGTCACTTATTCTTGAATTATCTGGTAATATTGATGTTAACTAGGATTTATCCCCAAACAAGAAGAATTCATCTATACTATAAAAACAATGTTCAAGTAGAAATGTTTTCAAAGTCTTTTTAAATTTGTATAGTGCTGGTATGTCCTTTATATATTGCGGCAAGTGGTTTAAAAGACGAAGTCCAATATTATTGAAGTTGTTTTTACACAGACTCGTCCTACATGGAACTATGAATAAGTTGTCTTTTTTTCTTGTATTGTGTGAGTGTACTGCTGAATTAGTGATGAAAACATTCAAGTTGGATTTCATGTAAACTAATATTTCATATATATACAGACTTGGTAGAGGTAATATATGTAACAATTTAAAATATTGTTTGCAGCTGGTTGTTTTTTGTATTTGCATTATAGTTCTAATAGCTCTCTTTTGTATCTTAAAGATCAATTTTGCATTCGCTGAATTGCCCCAGAATATCAATCCATATGATAGCAGGGATTGAAAATACGCATAGTATAAAGCAAGAACAGTCTCTAATCCTGATACTTTTTTGACTATTCGCAAGCCAAAACATATTTTACATAACTTACTTGCTAGTGTTTGAGTATGTGTGGACCAGCTTAATTTTTTGTCTAACGACATTCCCAAAAATTTGGTATGTTCTGTATAATTGATGACTTTATCATATAGTTTTATTGGTGGGCATTCTGGCTGTATTTTTTGTGGTTGGTGAAAGGATATTGCTATCGTTTTTTCTTTATTAATAATTAATCTGTTACTTTCAAACCATTCTGTGAGTTTATTTATTAATGCGTTTATTTTCCTTTGGACAACATTAACACTATTTCCTGATATAAAAATACTTATATCATCGGCAAAAAACGTTAGTTTTCCTTGTTCAATACCTGCTTCTAGATCATTAATATATAGCAAAAATAAAATTGGTCCAAGAACAGAACCTTGTGGGACTCCATGTCTTACGGGTCTACTCTGAGATAGATAGTTAATGCTTACATTCGCTTCTCTACATCTATATGTGATTTCCACTTTCTGTTCTCTTCTTTCTAGATATGTTTGAAACCATTTTAGTGCAACCCCTCGTATTCCCATTCTTGTCATCTTTCTTAGCAATATGTCATGATTAACTAGGTCAAACGCTTTTGACAGATCCAGAAATAGCCCTATACTTACTTCTTTCTCATCTAGCGATTTATAGACCCCTTCTATGAACTCTGCAATTGCTGTTTTTGTTGTTTTTCCTTTGCAAAACCCATGCTGTTTGTTACTAATTAAACTGTGGTTATTTAAAAAGGATAAAAGTCTTTTATGCATAATTTTTTCAATTATTTTTGAAAAAACAGAAATTAGTGATACTGGTCTATAATTCGCAACATCCGTTTCGCTTCCTTTCTTATACAAGGGTTTCACTTTTGCCATTTTTAGCTGGTCAGGGAAGTATCCGGTTGAGAGTGACTGATTTATTGTATATGTTAAGGCAGATATTATCTTGGGATAACATTTTTTGATGATATACTCTGGGATGTCATCTATACCTGTTGATTTTTTGTTACCAAGTCTTTTGATTATGCCAACCACTTCCTCTTCAGTAGTTGGGATTAAGAACATACTGTTGTTGTTATACTTTACTGCATTGTCATTAGCTTCTTTGTTTGTATATAATGATTTGTCGTTTAAGATTTTGTGTGCAATGCTAGTATAATATTCATTGAAAACATTTGCTATAATTTTTGGATCCTGTGTATTTCCTCCTTCAGTGTTTATTTCAATATTTTTATTTTTTTTCCGACTGCCTAGCTCCTCCTTTATTAGGTCCCACATAGCCTTTGGTTTATTTCCGGAAGTTCTTATTTGTATGTTATTAGATAATTTTTTTGCTTCACTGATCACTTTGTTATAAATTTTCTTGTACTGACCATAGTATTTTTTAAATTCTTCTGATATATTCCCTTCTTTCATTAGCCTATTAAGAAATCGAAGTCTATTTCCTGATACCCTTATACCTGAGGTAATCCATTTGTTTTCATGCTGTTTACTTTTTACCCATTTTTTTGGTATTGCTATTTCATAATAATACTGAAAAGTATCTAGAAATTCATTATATGCATTGTTCGCTGATTTTTGTTTAAAAACAAGCTCCCAAGTCTCTTTGTCTAGTAGATAATTTAGATATTGAACATTTTCTTCACTATAAGTTCTGACCATTCTATATTCTCTCTCTGCTCTGGCTTGCCTTTTTTGATTCTTATTCTCTTGCTGCATCTGTACTTGTAATATCTGCGCGCTATGGTCAGAAAATCCTGTTTCAATAACCTCAAATTTATATTCCCATAAACCCTTGTTTAATATTATTTGATCTATGGCCGTTTGACTTCTGGAACTGATTCTCGTTGGAACATCCACTATTGCTTCCAAGCCGTATGAATTTATCATTGTCTGTAGTTGTAAGTTTACCCTGTTTCCTAAGAAATCTATATTGAAGTCACCTACCATAATAATTTTCTTATCTTTATTTAGTAACTCATTTATTATTATATCCATAGTTTCAATAAATATATTGATGTTACTGTTAGGAGTTCTGTATACACACATAATAACTGTATTGGATTGAGTGAGTTCAATTATACTAGTCTCAAAATGTTCTTCTCGTGTATAGTGTTCAAACAATTTACAAGGTTTTGCTTCTAGATTTTCTTTGACATAGATGCATGAGCCTCCATGTCGTTTATTTTTCCTGCAAAATTTTGAAACCAGGGAGTAGTTTACAAAATTATAATAATCTATTTCCTTTTCATCTAACCAATGTTCAGTGATGCATAGTATATCTAACTCTAGTGTTTTATCAGTTAGTAACACATCGATATTTAGTTTTTTGTTTTTTAGACTTTGCACGTTTTGATGAAATATTTGAATATTAGTATTGTATTTATTATTTTTGTTATTCCTAAGTATACCAGCGCTATGCTTATCTATAAAAAATCTTTACTTAGCTTTAGTGGGGGCTTCCTCGTTCTGGTTGACGTACGAACTTCCTGACGCTCCCCGCCGTTAGAGAGTGAGTCTGCTGAATTTTTCACTGCTTCGTTTCCTTGGACATCTGTAGCCTCCCCGTGAGCAGTAATGATCGCTGTACCATCTCGTTCTTCCATCAGGGCCCCTTGGTCGGTAGCATGAGATATTCCTTCCCCATATTCTGTTGCAGCAACTTTTGGATCCTCTTGCAGAATTATGTCATCTCCACTTGTAGTATGACTTGTCCTGTCCTCGCCTTCTGTTTTCCAGTGCAGTCTGATTGATTCTCTTTTTTGTTTATGAAGCATTGTACTAACAGCCTTAGCTATCTTTAACGATGTTATTTCTTTTCCCACTTTGTTCATGTGCAGTCCATGTCTAGTAAAATACTCCCTTTTGAGATCTACTGTTATAACCCTTACATGCTGGAAGGGCTTCATAAGTTTCAATAATTTTCTGTTAAAGCTTTTTACTTCATTATTCACACACGACCAATCACTTAGGTCGTATCGATGGGGAACAGTCACCAGCACAATGTTCGTATGGCAATTGGTTTTCACAAATTCTACTATGTGTCTTAATCCATCTTGTGAATTATTTTTGCCAACATCATTAGTACCTCCCCAAATAGTCGCCCTGCTGCTCAAGAAATCCCAAATCTTGCGTGGAACCAAGTGATTCATTACTATGTATGCAAGAACCCACCATGGGTCCCCATTTTGAACAAAAATGAATCCAGTCCACATCCTATTTAAGATAATTATCTTAAGATCTACTCCAGGGCTTCGAAATGGTCTCATTGTTCACGTTTTCTGATCAACATTTTGTATGTATTTCTTGTCTCTCCCATGCCAACATGTCTGCATGTGCAAAATAGCGAGTATCTTAATTTGTTCTTCTCTTAACCAAATATTTGTTGGTAAAAAATAAAGTGTGATATTGGCAGGACAAGCACCATGCATTGGGTACTGGGGACTCTTTCACAAGAGCATGAAGCTGATACTAACTTCTCTGTACTGCCACGTTTGAAAATATGTGGCAGTATACCTCTGAGATACTGACAGCATTATTAAATAAAATATAAATAAATTTAATTTAAATATTAAGGTGAAACATTGCTTGCCATGTCAAAAAATGTGCTGTATTTGTATTTATTGTAAGTTCAAGGATCCAAAGATGGATATAGAACAATATAAAGAAATATATAGAACTGAGATACTAAATGGGATAAGGAGGAAGAAAAGAGGTGAAAGAAACAACATTTTACCTTTTTTGCATAGATGAGCTCTAATAATACATTTTAATATTGTATAATAAAGTAAAAAGTAAAGCTATCCCTGTACCAGGCTGTGAAGGCCCATAGGGTTGTGAGACGTTGAGGGTCCCACATTATCTAGACCAGGGGTCTTCAAACTTTTCGAACCGCTGGCCACATTGGGTAATTCAGCACTTTCAACGGGCCGGGCAAAATGAGAAATTAATAACTCTAGGTATATGAGTTTTATTGAAAGCACAGAATTTCATAAACTAAATACAAAGTACATGAGAATAAATTATCGTATATTAATGACAACAGACAGTAGCAGCAAATGCTCATGTTTTCATCACAAATTATAATAAAACAATGTGAATGATGGAACTCTTTTTGCATTCTTAAAATCTGATTAAATTGAGGTTCAAATTTTAAAACGCTAATCACAAGTAGTGACTTTAAATGTCNTCCTGAGCACTGGAATCCAAATCAACAAATCGCTTCCAAAATTGTTCTTTCAAATCTGAAATGACTAAATTTGCAAATGAGGAAGGAAATTCTGCTTCACCCTTTTTATGCAACTCTGCACAGTATAGCATATGAACAAAGTTACAATTTTTCGCTTGGCTTTCCAGAAGTATCAACTTTGCTCTGAATGCCTTGATAAGTGCAAATAAATCACAGACTAAGTTATTTTCACCCTGCAACTTTAAATTCAAATGGTTCATATGGTTCACCAGATCAGCAAAAAATGCTAATTTCCAACTCGGTATCTGATAAAAGTGGTTCGTGATGGTTTTTCTCTGTAAGAAATATATCAATTTCATTCCTGAGCTGAAAGAAGCACGAAAGAACCTTTCCACAGCTAAGCCATTGAACTGCAGTATAATATGTCAGGTCAGTAAGCTTGGAATCACATTTACCAGTACTCATTGGAAAATTAGTTCAATTGGCGCATTTCTGCACAATTCTTTCGCGGGCCGGATAAAATCACACCGCGGGCTGCATGTGGCCCTTGGGCCGTAGTTTGGAGACCCTTGATCTAGACAGTCAGCTCAAAGTGGCGGTAAGGTTGTCAGCCTTACGCGCTGGCCGCGCTTTACTCCCCAGGAAAATTATTTAATTAATTCCTGGTACTCCAAAAGTTAAACTAATTTGTCATGTGGTGATACTTTCTCTTGCCACCTTATATATTACAATGTAGTGACCACCTTATGCATAGTTCTGTTAAGACTGCTTGAAAATAATTACTCTTGTCACCATGTGGCACAAGCTTTATGTCCTAGTGATATGTAGGACACTAGCATTGGCTTGCAAGTAACTTCTGCTCATGAAAGTTCATAATTTTTTAATCAGACATGAAATGTTATAATATCATAAATTTAGTTGCCTCTATGTTACAGTTGGAGAACGGCGTCTTGTTACCTTCCCTTCGACCAATGTTGCCACTGTTAGATCTCCATGGTGTGAGAAGGCTAGACTTTCACACATCAGTTCTTGAGGTTTGTACAGACCCTTCTGGATAAATGCAGTCGTGCAGATTAATATTGGTTTTGGTAAGGTTGTTTGTAATGCATCTATTATGGGTAGGTGACTTAAGAATATACTGTTTGGTTCTTTCATCCTGAAAACATAAGCATCTTGTCTTTTTATAAGCCTTCCTCCCAGTCACTGTTTTCTTCTATGGGAGATTTAATGGCACTTTTGCAATGTTAAGACTATAGTGTGAGATGATATGATGATAGGTGTTTTAGAAAGGATGTAGAAGTGGTTATGGCTTCATTAAGGAGCTATATCGGCATTTGCGCAGAGGGACTGAGTAGAACCACGAAACCCTCAGAATTGTCAGTGTTCCAGCTGAGAATCAAACCGAGCACCTCCCAAATGCAAGCCTAGAGCATTGCCAGTAGACCATCCTGAACAGGTAAAAAATGTGAAGTTGTCCCTTTGCTTAACTAATTGAGCGCTACATGAAGGCATATGGAAGGGGTGGCTGTATAGATCCACATGGTCTTCACCTTGGCACTAGTTGGAGGTCAGTGGTCAGCTACAGCCCCCTCCCCCCAGCTGCTTTACCCCAGGGATAGGGCCCCTGGTACCCATTGAATAGGAGGTTGGACGGACCCCAGAGCTGGTCTAGATGTCATGGAGAAGAGAAAATTCTTGACCCTACTGGGACTTGAACTCTGACCCCTCAGTCATCAAGCCAGTAGCTAGTCTCTATACTGACTACACTACCCTGGCTCCTAGACCAGACTGAACAGTCCATTCCCTAATGATTCAGTCAAAACCAACAGATGGTTTACAACATAGTTTAGTCTCTTCCTTTTAATTATATTTTAATAGATTATGACAAGTGTTTATAATTTTTGTATGGGTGACTCTTTATTCTTGTTAACTTTCATTACAGTATATATACAGATGGATAGATAGATATATAATCTGGATGTTATTGTTTCAGGAATTGCGAGAGAGGCTTGTGCAGCACATAAATGAGATTGGGCAAAAGGAAGGGAAGGAAAGGGACCGTAAACTGAAGGAACTTCTTGCCAAAAGCTTTCCTGTAGTTAGAGTGAAAGCATTGCGTCCTGTAGTCATGTGTATTCTTCGTAACACACCGCACATAGATGAAAAATACCTGAAAGTATTGGTAAGTAAATGTTACCAAGAGTTTGATATAGAAGTCACAAGGAATGGGAAATAATTTGAGTTATAGAACATTTATGGAAGGAAATTGTTAAGTACATATGCTTGTGCCATTGTATCTTACTGCTAAGTAGTTAATCTTTATTGTATAATAGAAATCAGATAGTTTCATGTTATGGTCATTAGGGAGCTCAGAAAAATTTTATCAGTAACCTACGACTATAAAAAATACTTGTACTTAGAGATGTAGGTAACACAATATTTCATTCATTGAGTTATACAAATTTTATGTTGTAAGTTTTCACATGATGAATTGTGAGTGGAATGTTGTCATGTATCCAGGGTTTTGTGACTAATAATAATGGGTTCTGGATTTGATGATTGGATTTATTGGCACTTCTACTACACTTACAATCAATTATAACAGGTAACAGTCACTGACTCTCCAAGACTCACTCCATTCCTTACTGGACTACGAGTGTCTTCTCTTCTATTGTGACTGACTTGGTTCTGATTTACAAATTGGTCACTTTTTCAGCCTCTGTTATCCACTGGTTAGCTCTCCACAGCTGAATGCTCAACTTCTGAATTCTCTTACGACTGAATGATTGAACTAACTAGGTAACTCTCAAATCAGTTATGTGTCCCCCCCTAACTCAGGGTGAAGCGAATAGAGATGACCACCCCCAACAGTTCATCTACCATTGTGTGCCCACTCATCACGGATACATGTTTTAGCGAGCGTTGTCTAGCAATGGACCATTCTGAGTTCAAGTGTAATGTCACAATATTCTGAAAAACTTATTTTGACATTCTTGTAAATGATTGATGTGACATGAAATTAGAAACTAGCGCTGTGTATAGAGAATGTGGCCCGCGTCTTACACTCACATTTTTGTTGAAATATTATTATAATTCGAAATATGATTTTATTAACCCTTTGAAGCAACATTGCTCCTAAGTATAGTTAAAAATCCAGTTCCTTCCTACTAGAAAACCTTACAAGTTTTCGTTTTTGAAGACCAACTGGTCACTGGAGTTTAGTTAATTCATGTTATTTTATTGCAAGAATCATATGAAACAACAAAAACACACCCTGTTGAGAAAATGCAGATTCATATTCCTGGAGCAAGTGATGCATGTAGAAAGCTCTGTGCTCTGAAGGGTTAACTTAATTACTATTCATTATGCCTCTCCTGTATACAATAATCTTTTACATTGAAAACTTAACTTCTTTCTTATATTACATATATTATATATAATTACATATGCATATATATTTCTTATATTACATTTGTATTTATGGGTGTATAGTGCATTGAAAATGATAGTATAATTACATGTAGAAATAAATAAACAGATAAATAAATAAGTACAGGGTGGGGCGCAGAAACTCCCTTTTTTTGAAGGCGAATAAAAGAAAAATTATTGCTGATAGACAAAATTTATGTTTAGCTAATGAGAGAACATACTTTAAAGTTTTAAATAATGTAGGTTTAAACAAAATATCTTGAAATTGGTGGCCACCGTTCTCTGTGCACTAATGTCACCATTTTCTGAAGTTCCCCTCTGCACGTTCCAACATGTGCACTGGAATTTGGGCTACTTCCTGCCGAATAACATTCTTCAGCTGAAGCAGGTTTGTGTGGCGATGTTTAAAAACCTCTGCCTTGAGGTATCCCCATAAAAAAATCACAGGGTGTTAGATCAAGTGAGTGTCCTGCCCACGGGATGTCACCTCGAAGTGAGATAAGCCGTCCGGAGAACTTTGCCCTCAAAACNATCACTGTGAAGTGGCCTCTCATGGAGCTCTCTGGGATTGTTACCACTCCAGTAGCGCATATTCTGCTTGTTGACATATCTGGATAGGTGCAAATGTGCCTCATCACCAAAGAAAATAAGTGTGTCAGGGTGTAAAGTTTCCAATAACATTTTGCACGCCGTTATTTGGTTCTAGAAATCACGTGGTGACAATTCTTGCACAACAACCATCTTATAGGGATGGAAATTAAGATGTTTGTGAAGAATTTGGTTCATTGAACGATTGGATATGTCTAGGGTGACTGCATGTTTGCGAGCGGAGCAACTTGGAGATCTCAAAATCGACTGTCGAACTGCCTCCACATTTTCTGGTGTTGTAACGGCCCGTTGTTGTCCTGATAATTTTTTCACCACACTCCCGGTTGTCCTAAAGTTCTCTACCCACAAAACAATCAAAATCTGGTCAGGAACTGGACCTCTGGGCTTAATTCCGAAGTGAGTATGGAACGTACACTGCACCGACATGTAGGAATGGTTGTTCAAAAAATAGGCTTCGAGAGCAAACGCACACTGCTCACTCATCCACCTCATGTTTCCTACTGAAGGGTATTAGACAGAAACTTCAGCGACTGCTGCGTTTGTCGAGCCTATCCCCACTTTTCTGCGACCTCCCCTCCCTTCACAATGCGTCTTCACAAAAAGGAAGTTTCTGCGCCCCATCCTGTATATACCATATTACTTTGAATATAGGATGCATCGATTTTTTTAAATGAAAGTTTTGAGAAAAAATTAGAAAGGTGTATTTTTCCAATTAATTTATTTAGAACGCATCAATTATGATAACAAACATTTATAAAACACACACACTATATATATATATATATATATATATATATATATAGATATATATATTATGTGTAGTTTCATTGTTTGATCAATTTACAATAGTAACAATTGACAATAGTGAATAGTAAGAGGCACCATTAAGCATGTTCCACAGGTTCGTGACCGAGAACTGTATGGTGACACAGACACTGAAGTGAAGAGGCAGATCTGGAAAGATAACCAGTCACTTTTTGGCGATGAAGTTTCACCATTACTTAGCCAGTATATCAAGGAGAAGGAGAACATTCTCTTCGATCATCTGAATCTCACGAACCTTTTCTTCTCTCCATCTCCTAAAGTAAGTGCATTTGTAACATAAAGTCCCTCGTAATAACAGATTGTTAAGAAGTCGTTAAAAATATAACGACTCATTCAAAATCCATAGTTAAATATATAATTTTAATTTTATGTTGTTGATGGCGTTTTAAATAACAAAATTATTTTCAGAGGACATTATATTTAATTGAATTCTGTCAGTTAAAATACATTTTTAAAGGTTGTGTTTTCAGTGATTCAAGTATGAATTTATTAGTATCAAAAGTATGGTGTTATTTTTAGTGTATTATAGGTGAGAACTTTTGGATGCTTTATGTAAATTGTAACAAGACTTTCTACACACATAATGGTTATGTTCAAGAGTGTAATCATCAGGGCCCGGATTTTTGATGACCTGAAAATATTTAAAAAATGACCTAAAATATGACCCAAAAATGTAATATGCATGGCCCGGATTTTGATGACCTGAAAATATTAAAAAAATGACCTATAAAATGACCGTAAAAATCCAGAAAAATGACCTAAAGGAGAAAAGAAAGAACACTTTGCTTCCATGTTATTCACATTTCAGAAAACATGAAGAAAAATCCCCTAAAATGGCCAAAAATGGTGAGAAATACCCTTAAGAGTCCAAAAAATTACCCCCAAAATGAAAAAAAAAAGACCTTAAACCCAAAAATGACAAAAAAATTACCTATAAAATTTACATTTCTGTAACCAGCAGCTCATATCCGAGATTTATATATTTAAGAGTATCGCATAGGATACAAGGAAAAAAAAAGATATCATCAAATTCTGGGTCCTGGTAATGAGTGTAGTATGTTTCAGGCTGGTTTTCAAGCTTTGCATTTAGAAGGAAAAGTAATGTTAGCTCTTTTAGTGCATGATCTGAATTCAGGTGCGTCGGCAAGGAGAAGTGGTACAGAAGCTGGCACACATGATTGGAAGCAGTGTTAAACTGTATGACATGGTTCTTCAGTTTTTAAGAACCCTGTTCCTTCGAACTCGTAACATTCATTACTGTACTCTCCGAGCAGAGCTTCTGATGGCTCTCCATGACTTGGAAGTTCAGGTAATCACAGTTTGAGATGAGACGTATTTTATTTTTTGTCCCACATTATGTTTGAAAGTTTTATCTCTAATGGAGGTTAAATGAAGTGTGTACTGGTGTACTGCTCACATAAAGTGTGAGTGTGGAATATTATGAAACTGATTGCTGCTAAACAATCTGATCTTACTATAGTGGGGAAAATAATTCAGCACAAAATTCCTGTTATGAAGTTCTCATTGCATCAGGTGACAAAAAAAGTCGCTAGAATACAAATTATACCATGCATAAACGCTATTTTGTTACAGTTCTGTTTGATATTACTGTAACATGGTTTGATATTTTTTGATATCTGATATATTTTGTCATCTGATATTTTGAAATTTTTTTTAAGGTGTCAAGGGAGGAAGTAGCTAAACTTCAAGAAATCAAGTGATTTTGAGTAGATATGTTATATAAATGTATGTTCCACTTGTGATGATTATGAATATCAAAGTTAAATAGTAACACAATAATAGATAAAAGCATTTATTGTACAGTGCTGATAAATGTACAAAAATGTTCAGACTGTTATATTGTGGCATGGAGAACCATTGCTAGGCAGCGACCATGAAACGACTACACAACAGCCATTGCTAATAATGGCTCCACCAACGGACACAAACACAACAATTGCACTGCAACATAGGAGCAGTGTTTTCTACATGGTCTGTGCTGAGATATTGTAAGCAGGTCAAGTGAGGAGTTGGTTGGTGAGTGAGTTAGAGGACTGCTGCTGTTCAGTTGTTGTGAGCTGATGCTGTGAGATGCTGGTAGCTGAGGCCAGGGACCATTTGGAAACCCAGAGGAAGGGGAATGTCCATCGTTGGAAGCCACTACCAAGCAACGGCAATGAAGATGTGACTGTGGATACTAGTGCATGTAATAGTGAGCTGTAAAGCATAGTCACATGCTGTATAAAACTGTAAGAGTTCCATAAGACTGATTACCAATCCAGACCCCATCTATAGTCTCATTCATACACATGGCAGTATTTTAGATTTAACAGTAGTTGTACAATAAATGTTTTGGCCAATTACTGCTGTTATTGTTTGACTTTGAATGTTCATAACTGTCACCACCATGAATTGAACATTATGCTCAAGATCACTTGATTCAATGTCCTGAATTTGGCTATTTCCTCCCAGGACATTATATATAAGCTACATATTTGTTAAAAACGTTCAAGGATATAGAATTGTTTCTGACATTTGTTATTTTTACATTCCTGAAGTTTGTATATTTTGTAGAGGTGAAGTCTACACGCAGATCAGTCCGGGGCTGAAACTCAGAGCCCTTTGAATGAGAGCCTAGGATCTTATCCTAGTATCACTAGGCCCTCTTATAAGATTAAATATATCATCTCACATTTCTAATGTTTCAGATGGTGAATTCTTGTTTTATTCAAAATACTGTAATTTAATTAATGTCGGTTGTTTTTAATATTAATGAGAAAATTTGGGAATACTGTTCCATAGTTCACGCATGTAATATTTTGTAGGTACATTGTTACATGCAATCATACTTGCCTTTGCATTGACATAATAATCAAGTAGCATTGTGTTTCCATATAAATCTGTACAATGCAGTTGAATGTTCGATAGGAATCATGTGACCGTTTACAGAAGAGTACCCTTTTCTGGAACATGAACTTGCCCCTTTTCTTTCTTGGCTTACTTGTCAGTTCTAAAGGTGGAGGTAGTATATTTCTCCAAAATGGAATACTTCTACTAGACTGTACAGCATCACATCTTGAAAGATAGTACTCCTTATAGTCACTGCTGTGAAGGGGCATGCAGTAGCATAGTTGGTTGAGGCACTGTGCTACAAGCCGGAAGTTGCGGGATCGAATCCCGATGAAGTGGATTTTTCAATTTACCTAATCCATCCAGCCGCACTATGGTCCTGGGGTCGATTCAGCCTCTAACAGAAATGAGTACCAGGAATGTTCTTGGAATGTTCTTGGGGTTAAAGGGTGGCTGGCACGTAAGGCTGACAACCTTACTGCCATCTATGAGCCAATAGTTTAGAAAATGTGGGAACCTCAACATCTCACAACCTTATGAGCCTCCACAGCCTGTTACAGGGATACCTTTACTTTTACTTACTTTACTTATATAGTCACTGCTGTGAGAACCCCAGTTCTTACCTTTACAGAAGTTTGCCTTATTTTATACTGATATTAGTGGTAAAGGTCAGTGCATAGATTTTTGTTTCATTTTCCCGCAGGATATTATATCTGTGGATCCATGCCATAAATTTACGTGGTGTTTAGACGCGTGCATCAGAGAAAAGAATGTTGATATCAAAAGGTCACGAGAATTACAGGTATGTTCCTGAAGTATTGTTCCATTATTTTAAAATTGAATTGTCTGTCCAGTAAGTGAACTGAATGTAAATGTAGTTATTTTCTTTTTTGTAGGGTTTCTTGGATAGCATTAAGAGAGGTCAAGAGCAAGTACTGGGGGACTTATCCATGACCTTGTGTGACCCATATGCTATTAACTTCCTTGCTACATCGGCAACAAAAATTCTTCAACATTTAATTAATAATGACTCTTTGCCCCGGGATAACACTGTTCTTATATTATTGCTTAGGATGCTGGCACTTGGACTGAGTGCATGGGTTATGATTGATTCGCAGGTAAGTTTTTGTATAGCAATGTTCTGAGCAAGTGTGACAGCAGTGCTTCCTGTTACTTGATGATCGGTTTTCGTATCTCGGTGCTAGAGTGGAAACCTTGTTTTCTTGTTGAGGAGTTTGACCTCAGTTTGTAGAAATGTAAATGTTTCAAGTATCATTAGCTTTTGAGACGTTCAGGCTGATGGGAAATTCATCAGACTATGCTTGCAGTCTGATTTTTTTTTCCAAAAGAACACATCCTAAAAGTGTTGATATTTCAGGTAAGGTTATTTTTTATTGATAAGTCTTCTGCTATCTACAAGTGCTGACTATAATGTACAAGTACAACAACAGATGCCAAACCTTGTATTGTATTTGAGATGGTGTTGGATACAGGTTTTTAAAATTCATGGCTAAGCAATAAAGTAGGAATTCCATTTCTGGTATATTCTAAAGGTTTGGCCGCATAGATTGACAATTAAGAGCTGGTATTTTCAGATACTCTATTTCTTTCTCTTCCTCGATAATAAGTTTTACTACAAGTTAAAATAATGCATATGTATTGGTACCGATTGGCACAGGTTTGTCTATCAGATGGTCACCAAATATGATGTGCTTCTGCATTTACCTCTGCCTTCCAATACCACTTTTGTCGCCTTAGTTCTTAATGGTTCTATCTCCAATTTTCATTATTTTTCAGGTTAGAAATGTGTTTAGTTCCTTAGGGTTCAAGGTCTTTATATACACGATTAAACAGTAAAATCATGACAGAAAACTAAATAATATATTTTTATTTTTTCTCCTGTGTTCACCTGTTCCTGATTCATACTTGTGTCTCTGTTTCCTGTATTCCACAAAATGTGGAGACAGTACCATTGAGAACTAAGGTGACAATATAATGGCTCAAGTAAGCTGAAGTAGGTTTAGAACATTGATTGTTTATGCCACAGAGTTGTTTTCCACTTAACGCAGTGTGGGTGAATATTAATTTTTACACCTTTAACATTCAGAAATGTTGCTTGTTGCCCATTCAGTATTTTTAAATGTTTCACACGATTCTCACAATAAATAAAAGTGGTTATTTCCCTATAGAGAATTAACTAATATGTTTTTGTAAAGGAGACAGTGTGTTCTTTTGTGAGATTAAACTAAGTTCTTAAATATTATTTACATGAACTTGATGCTTCAAAATGTTAAGTATTCTTCTTTCTGTTTTTATTTCCAAAGTGAGGTGGAAAAAGCTATCAAGGAAATGAGGAAGGGAAAGGCTACAGGAGATGATGATGTACCTGGAGATGTGCTCAAGTTACTGGGAGAAGGTGGTTTGAAAACACTGACAAAACTAATGAACACCATATATGAAAGTGGAGAGTGGCCCAAGGACTTTACAGAAGTTACAATGATTGCCTTAAAGAAAAAGACAAAAGCTACAAAATGCAGCGACCATCGCACAATAAGTCTTATTGCACATACAGCAAAGATAATAGCAAAGATACTTAAAAGAAGAATTGAAAGGA